CTATTCAAGTTTACTTTTCCTCCAACTATWTTGTTCACCAAGGTGGATTTTCCTGCATTTGCAGGTCCTAAAATTGCTACCCTCAAGATACGAGGATCTTTTGGAAGCTCCATGGGATAAAGATACGGAAGTTTGTCCTCATTAGCTATAAGATTAAGTATGGTCAATATATCAATACTTGGCTGTTTGAAAAGTAAACTTGAATAGCATCGATGCGACTGAAGCTGACGAAAAGAAATTCTGCTTAAAGAGATGCCCCAAGTAAGGAGTGGTAAAACAAAGGCCATTTAAAATAAAATTTTATTCACAATAAATTCTGGCTAATTAGCGGATGGGGCCAGTCAATCAGCCAATGGGTATTTTGGCAATGTCCTGTGCTTGAGTGTTCCAATTACGCTGTAATCATAGGCCTCAAGATCGATGTGTCGACGGACATTCTAAAAATTCTGTACTTGGGATGGAGGAACGAGGCATAATTTTCTTGGTATTAATAGATTCTCCCTTGCTTTGATCTTTCAGAGCATGATTGCTTTGCATTTGGATTTTGGATTGACACGACGGTACTTTGAGGTTTGGAATGTTAGAGTCAAGCGGAGGTTCCACATTGAGGCAAACCTGTGTTTGCCCGCTCGACTCATGTGAGATGAAACTTTTATCCTTCTTGATGCACTTCTTTTGCAGCCATTTTTTTCGCACTAGGGATTTTATGGCCAATCCGAATTCTAGGTCAACAGTAGCCGAAAGATGCTTTCCAAAATCGTCCCGATCTTTGGTATTTATTACATCATTGTGACGATCTAGTTTTAAAATCTTGCTTTCGGGAAATCTTTCCGAATTGCCTGATTTTGAAGGATCAAGTTTTTCGCTTGCAGCATCTTGCTTTGGGTTTTCGCACCATGATGATGATTTCAACAAACAGGTTCCCGAAACTCTCTTGAAATGGGAGAGCAATATAACTTTATAATCTGGTGTTCCTTTCCCCAACTTTAACGATATTTTTCTAGTTGCTTCAGCAACTATGGTGTCAAAAAAGCAAGAAGAGATAAACGATTCTTGAGATGTTTTCGCGTTTTCATTCAAACCTGTTGAAGAAACACATCCAATCCACGGAAGAACCGCTTGCATCTTTTTACATGACAATTCATAGGAAGAGATATTTCTAGGGGAACACGAAATACATATGAATGAATTTTCCTTTATCGCGTCAAATGGATCAATTGCAAGAAGATTCCAAATGCATTCATGACAACACTTGCTCCCGCAAATGTTACAGCTAATGAATACTTCCGCTCCAGAGTCGGTTCTTTTTTGACAATTAATGCAAGTAATTGAAGGAGATTGAAAAGGCAAAGAAGCAAAAGGCCTATGCGTAAATGAGATTAGATTGTTGGCTCTTTCCAATAATATTCCAAACGCAATGGTTCCGCTTGATTTTTTGTCACTTGTGGATATTGTTCCCATATTTGCAAGATGCAAGTCTATGGTAGCTTTGTCTTCTGCCATCGAAGATAACACTCCCAGAGTTCCGTAGAAGGAAGCTTTTGATGCCCAGTTTTTAATACAAATATTCGCACGACGCGAAAGCTCGTCTAAACGGTCAATTGAGTCGAACGTTTGCATCAAGGTCATTATTGGATGTTTGCAGAATCTTCCACGGCCATAACATTCAAAGCAAAGATCAATTCCATCTAGACGAGGGGAAAATTTGGCTTGAAAATCTTGGCAATTGGACAATGATGTGGGCACGGCAGGAGGAACAGAACATTCAGAACAATGGAAAAATCGGTTCAGAAGATCGCTTTTGCAAATATCGCAAATGCGTGTATGTGGCAATTCATGCTCCAAATCCACCAATTGGACATAAAGCCTGATACATGCATTAGCGTCTTGTGTGAAATTTAGCCTGTGGTTTTCAGAAATATGCTTGTCCTTGCTTCTGATTTCAATGTTCTCGCCAAGTTTGAGGATATTCCCCTTAATAAATGGATTTGAAAAGCGTTTTGCATTTGAATCGGAGTCGGGGGTATCGATGGTTGGAGACGTGAGTTTATGCTGTGAATCCAGTTGTTCAATAGACTCTTCTATCGCCAGATATTGGAATGTTCGAAATAGACACGTAAGAACAGAAACATTGAAAAGAACGGAGACAGGGACAGGCATCTTTTTTTTGGCCAGTGAGTTTATGTCACAAAGCCAAAGGCCCTCAAGAAAATTTGTCAAGGCCACCATTGAGTGGTAACATATGGCTTTGGTGCGATAGACTTCTTGCTTGCATAATCTGAAACTTAATAATAAAACCATGCCTGGAATACGACCGCCTTATGTTAAAGAGATATGAATGAAGCGAACCATGGGTAATTCGGTTCCATGCTGTCTTTATGGTCGTTCCACCGATATTTTGCACTTGATGAGGAGAATCTGGGGGAATCACCACAAGATCGCCTACATCTTGGAAAAATCTGTACACCGGAAATGGAGCATTTTTAAATTCATCTTCATTCTCAATGAGAAGCCCATCCAACTCAATAGCATTGGGATACCCCAAAGAAGATGGCTTTATGGTGGCAGTTGGATCTTCGCCAGAAACGTACTCTAATCCTCCCCAAAATTTACAAGCATCTTCTCTCCACTTTGAGGGGATTATGGTCCATATGGCACGAGCTTTTGGACTGCTCTTTGCGACGAGGATATTATGTCCCAAAGATCCACAAACATCAACATGGAACGGTGTATGTGTTCCATGTCCTCCCACATAAATCATTAAGCATTCCGGCTGAATTTCCACGGGCAAATGGCGAAGTAAGTCATTTGGTCCCTTCATTTCGACAGACGATGGGAGAATATCGGATAAAAGGGTGCTCCATTCCACTGGACAAGAGAGATCTTTTCCATATAAGTTTGCTGGATCTCTTTCGGCGTTGCTTAATCTTAAATAAGACAGATAAGAACCAATTGTGTGGTTATGAACATCATCCCCGGTATCTAAATTACGTAGGGAGATCTCTATGGAAGTTAATTTTTTGTGCATGGATACCTTTATTCCCGTAAAACCTGTCAAGAAATTCAAAGCTAAATATTGGAAATGAGCTGCCTTTGTCAGTCCTGCTCCACAATGGATGATGATGAAGGTTCTTTATCACAACCGGCAGCCCTTGCCGGTCCACATTTTCAAATACAAATCGATTCATCTCTTCTTCAATTTGCAGCAATACATCTGTGGGTGAAAGTGTTTCTACTTTTGACGAGTAATAGTCCAAATAATCAAAAACGAGTGGCAAGTTGATATATGACTTCATTACAATGAGAAGAAATTAAAATGGCCAGAATTTATGAAGCAATATAATTGGCAAAATCAAGTTAAATTCTTTGAATTGAATAATCGAGACACAGCCTTATCACTAAATTGGATGCTTTACGAAACAAATCATGCTCACTAATTAGAACCCTATTCCGTTTTTATTTGGCGGACAAATTTCAAAAATAATATTCACAGAAAAATGTTGTCTGAATTGATTTTAGCATCAAAGAAATTAAAATCGAACCGCAGGCACCATTATTGGGCTCATTTGTGTATTCCGATATATAATCGAAGCCTATTTTATCGGGACTTTTAGAATATTCTTGACCAATTTTAAGTAAAATTATAAGAAAGCTTCAAGATGGAAAATCCAGTTCAAAGTGTACCCCGGAAGCTATAACTGGGTTTCAATTTTAAATGGTCTTATTGTGTGAAGAGACTTCATTCCGACATTGGTAGTCCCTGCGCTTACAAGTAGTTCCGCTGCTAATGTGTTGAAATGTCTCTCGTATTTTGGCCATTTGAAAATGCCTTTTGCTGACTTTATCCTTAGTATACCTTTTGCAATAACCTTTCTTTAATCTTAGCACCATTTATTAAAGCGGTCCGAACTACGAGAGATCAACTCGGCCCAATGCTTCTATTCAATTTAACAGATGACCCGCTGTGTTAAGAACAATTTGACATCCTTTTTAAAGTGATTGGTCAAGCTTCCGGGAAAGTAACGCGAGTCTTTTAAATGTCATTTAAGAAGCTAGTAACCATAGAATTCTCGAAAAAAGCTCGTGGATCTGACCCCAATAAAGCGTGGAGAATAATTCGTACTAGAAATTCCAGCATGTATGTTCAAGCCAACATGTGCTTGATCAGAAAAGATCAAAAATATCTTTCTTCTAATTTTAAGAGGCTCCCATAAAAAGGAGCTGTTTCCCGCATGCAATAATGATGTGTTTTGTGAATCGACTATGGTGCGTATTTCAAGAATTTATAATTGATTCAAGGAGATATGTCAAACTGTGGATTTATTTTAAAGAGCATCTTTATGTTTTAAAAAGATGATCGATCGGATATTAAATCTTCTTATTGATACAAAGAAACCACTTTGAGGATGGGATGTGTTGACTTTTATTTGCAAAATATACCTGGCTGCTCAAGGGTTCATAAAAAACCTAGCAAAATGTACCACGAGGGCCGCAAAAGTTCGACAGCCTATTTGGCTTTTTCAATCACGAACAATGTGCTTGATCACGAATATCGCCGCTTTTGGGCCCTGTTTGCAGCGTTTTTCAGAGCTGATACTAAATTTAAATAGGAACTTTTCGCAAGCATCCGGATAAGTTACGAAAAATTGCATACAACATTATCCATTTGCGACTTTTCTTTTTTCACATATTTCCTTCAATTTTTTTCAAAGGATAATACTGGCGCTCAAAAAAAGAGCCCACTAAAAGGGATAAAACTATCCAAAAATTAGTTGGCAAGCTGCAAGAAGATACTTTTAGTGTTTTCAAAGCATGTGATATTCAAAAATTTTCATCGTATAAAGGTGCGCTGAATTATCTAAAAATTTCCCCATATACTGCGGCGCTACTACTGATATTAGCTCAATGAACGTAAAACTAAGAACAGAAACCCCCTTTCTGAGTCCATTCCTCTCGATAAGCATTAAAACTTGCTGCGGATAAAATGTCCCTGCAAACCTAGAAATGCACGGATTAGCCTCTCAACTTTCAAACCTAAAAACGAATGCTTGGCTTCTGGTCTAATGCAATTTATGACCTTTGAATTCAAAAAAACTTTCGCTCCTTATTTGCCTGAGTGGACCCAATCAGGCATGTTAGCTCGACAGATATGTTGCGCTGCCATTGTATCTGTAACTTGAAATTGGGCTGGGATCGTGTATTTTGTATCCGACTGGATTTTAGTACCGCTATTGGGCACCACGTACGCAGTTAAAGCTTTATATCGATCGGACCTCATAGATGGTTGTTTTTCACTTTCACAACGTTTCAATTCCGAACTTGTGACCTGTAACTTTGGTAAATCCACATATACCTCCTTTCACATCTGACTTTGTTTTATGGATATGCCAAAAGTCTTACGTGTAAACAAGAGCTTTATTTATCGTCATCACAGTATCATCTATGAATACCAATGATGCCGAAGGAATTCTGGGCATAATTTATCTTGATGATCACCTAGCCACATGAGATTTGGTACAATAAGTGCAGTGGTAGAATCTGGTGTTGATGTACATACACGAGCATGCCATGGATGCTTAATTCATTTGCAGGAACTTTCAACAATTGCCTTTGAAATTTTTAAGACCATTTAAGTTCTTTATTTATTAAGAACACTCGGGATCGAAACTATTCTTTTGCTCGACGAATTGTGCAGTAATTTTTTTTCTCCGCCAAAAAATGACATGAAATTTGTCCCTTCTCTTTCGTCATCAAACTCTGGAACTTTAGCAACATATTGCAAATACTTTCCTCTTTTCAGATAATATAGACTTTTACGGTATGCTTTTCAAAACAGGTAGGTTTAGCTTGCCATACTGGCTTTTTTCATGCTTGTTACCCCATAGGCTGCGAGGTGGGACCCATTTTAGGATATCATCCGGCTTTATCAAGCCTAGATATAGATTATCATCGCCAAGCCTTAGCTTTCCATAGTCCTCATATCGCAACTTCCCTGTTTATGATATCCTTATTTGTTCGAAATATCAGTTTCTTTCCGCATATCTGCTCCTTAAATCTAGGTTTAATTCTCAATCTTCTGATCGGATCCTACTATAGAAGGATGCATACCTGATTTTCTAGCTGAATAGCGCCAATTTAAAATACAGCCAAGAACAATATGCATAACGCAAGCACAAAAGCCCCGCTATTTATTTACACAATTTTTTCTGTTGATAACAACGAGCTGACTATTTTTATTTACTCTTTTTTCGTTAATAATGCGTACAGAAATCCCTGTTAGATCTTGTGCAACCAAATGTCACAGGGTTAGGGCTGAAGGTCTGCCATGTTAAAAGTCAAGTACATATTCTATTAAATAATTATCTTGTTTACCTGCAAATTGCCAAATAAAATTAGTATTCATATTGTGTTGACTTTATGTGTTACATAATGTCCAAGGATCTCCTACCATATAGCATATCGCTATCATAATCTCAAAATATTAAAATTTAGCAACTACTTTGGCCAGATATCCAGTGTAAGTAAACTTTTACCCATAATAATACACATCTTTTAATGCCTCAATAAAGGTTTCCTATGGCTTTCAGCATCCCTTACTCGCAAAATAAACTGACAAGATAGCATTCGACAATGCCCTTCATCTTGGGCCGATTTGAGCGGCCTTAAATCATGCTCGTGTGAACCCCTGTGTCAAGATCTCTGAAGCTCTAAGCATGATTGATTGCATGATCTTATATCCGTTATCTTTAAGCCTGAAGGGTCGTTTTAGGATAAAAGATCCCACAACCGATCAAGAGAGAGGGATTATTATGTGATCATCCAAATTCAAAGTTGCTAATTAAAATTTCAAGCCTAACGTAGGGCTTAATATATTTTCGCGCAACTTTTCAATCTAAACAAGTAAATTGCGCATGTATCTTGAATGGGCCCGCGAAATCGGTGTTTTAGTCAAGGAATTTGAGTCTGATATCTTCTATCAGACTTTGTTAATCAGATGCTTTGCATAGTGCATTCAACATCAAAAATAACGGTTTCTGCACTGCAACTACTTTACTGGTTGTCTTGGTCTTTTCGAGTGGTTGAAAATCGTAGAATATTATCGTGTCTTGAATCAATACAAGTGGCTTAATCTTACACGGGCCTGCTTGAGTTCAATATAGTTAAGGCTAAATTATTAATAGATCTAAACAAAGTGAATGTAGTGCGGTTGGAAATGTTTATTGTTCATTGGAGTGCATAAAACCCATGATATTAACGTCCA